AAAACAACTGTATTTACTTGAGAATAACATCTCAAATTGTTTTTTAAATAGCCCCAATACCTTTTTTACAGAAGGGCCAACTCGCAGTCTGAGCTTTCATTCCCTTGAAAAAGTTATTTGGATTAAGGACGAAACGTCGGGAAAACCTGATAAGAAGTACAGATGTTGGGTGAGAAACCTTTCTTTGTTTAGACGAATCCCTGTACGACTGAGAGGTTGTTGTTTTGAATCTCTACCTAATTAATTTCCTAACTCATGTTATTGCATTGTTGACTGTGTGTTGACTTGTGTCGAACCACACAACTGATATAATCATGATGTCGCTCTACCATTTTTTATGAACTCTATTTTTAGGTCATTTTGTCTGAGTTTCTGACGTGACCTGCTGCTGGTTCAAGTGGTCAACATGAAACGGCCGCTGCCTTGTCTATTGTATCCACAGCTACTCTGAAGGTCCATTAAAGGTAATGACAAAAGAACAACACGAAACCCAAAACTTGTCTCTATGGAACTACATCAGCTTTGGTCAACAAAGAACAAATAGTGGGCTGTTAAAATCCCCTTATCTTTTTGTTATCATGTTTTATTTACTTTTAAAATACTTATTATTTGCACCTTTCTGAAAGACCTGAAATTCAGTTAATGATGGGTCATCGTTCTTAACTGTGCAGCTGGTACAATGCATGTTTTTATATCTGTATGTTGTCTGCCCATTGGAAAAGAGATTGTTGAATCTCAATAGGATACTCCTGATTTGAATAATCAAATGAAAAAGAACACAAACAAAGGTTCAGAAAAGAAGCAACCAAAATCTGTAAAATAAATGTTAACTCCTTCTTACTTCCAGGCAATAACTCTCCATAAGAGTGGGTACTCTCCTTAAGAGTATGTACAAAGCAAAGTGACTTGGATCAGGGGAGAGCCAAGAACCTGACAACCCAGAAGGACAGAGAGGTGAAGGCCACCGTCTAATTCCAAGATCTATAACAATTTTCTTCCATCACTAGTTTCCACATGTGGCATTTTTGGATCAGATGAAAAAGTTAAAAAGACATGACCAGCCTTCTTTAGCCAATCAGCTCGTAACCCAAACTGTAAAATGTATATGCAAAAGATGTATTGTTTTGATGAGAGCATGATGTGGGCTGACTTGGACTTGGGGTACCCCAACCCCGTTTCATATACAATAAACGTGGTTTACTTGAACTATTTAATTCATGAGAAATGGTTCTTTTGTTCAAGGTATGGCCATTTCCAAGTGTGGCTGGACTCTCATTGCTGTTGTGGTGATAATCTGTATTTTGCAAACACAGAAGGTGACTCAGATCCTCAGCCTGGTTTCACCGGTATGTTTGCATAGTAACCGACCCAACACTAAATAAGGGACAGAGTTTTTATAGATCACATTGAATCTTGAAAGTGAATTACATGTTTATGTTCATTATTTCAGGTACCAATAGAAGATGAAGACGTTCTACCTCACACAAGACATAAGAGAGAGGGTTAGTATGTTACAAGAAAGAGTTTTCATTATAGGTGCTTTTGACAAAAATGAGGTATTTCAATAATTGTATTCACTTGATATTCTGGCAATCCATGAATCATTTTTTAAAACAGGTAGAGTTCATGGTTTGCAATGGATTAATTTAACAAACAGTCTTGGAAAAATGTGTATTACTCTAAACAATGTTCCTAATATAATATTGATTATTGCACGACTGAAACACAACAATAGCATAGTTTACAATTGATATGAAGCACTCAGAAAAACAGCAGCATGTGGAAGAGATGTGTGAAAAGGCCTTTTTATCGGAAAATGTAGCTATAAAATGCAACATAATTCTGTGTAACTTTTTTACAAGTAGCTAACACTCTTTAGCTTCTAGACTCACCTGTGGTGGATGAAAATGTCCTTGTTTGTATCAGTGTATCGTTAGGTGTATAGTTGTTCTTTTGGTACCCTCTCCATGCTTCCCAGTTAGCTCCACTATTTTAGGATTTCAATGCTATCTTATTTTGTTCAGCGCTTTGAGTTGCCTTGTGTAAGAATTGTGCTACACAAATAAACTTGCCTTGCCACTTTGTTAGCCTCGCTACAGTGCACGAAAAGTCACGCAGGAGAGTTTCAAGCCAGTCCATCTAAACATGTTTGATAAGACCGACTCGGTGTCTCAGATAACTTTATTTGTTTAATGCGATGTGATGTGTGTTCCCTCCCCCCTGAACTGAGCTGAAAATGGGAAAACTGTGAGGTTATAGTTCTCGTAATTATTATTATTTTAAAATTACCACCAGTCTTTCAAATATTATCAGATGTTCTACATTTCTTCTACATTTCTTCTACATTTTGGCTTTATAGGCGGCACGGTGGCTGGGTGGATAGCACTCTTGCCTCTCCGTAAGAAGGTCCTGGGTTCAAATCCCTGTCGGAACAGGATCTTTCTGAGTGGAGTTTGCCTGTTCTCCCCGTGTCTGCATATATTTCCTCCAAGTACTCTGGTTTCCCCTACCACTAAAAACACATACAATAGGTCTGGCATGCGCTTCCTGTACTGGCCCCGCTCCCATCTCTTTGTGGAGTGAGAGGACAAATGCCCCAAAATCAAAGTGACTCTGGATTGTGAAAGGTGGTATATAAATAAAAATTACTTACTTACTTTAAATCTACACTCAAAATCTGTGAATATCTCAAATTGCCTTTGGGTAGACTTCTCCCTCTTTTCCCAAAACCAGTCACATGTCCTCTATTCACCTCAGACAGTCGCTCAGGATATGTTCAATAACCCTAAATAGCAGTGCTCAGTTCTCAATGTGTGCTCTTGTCACTCATGCTAAAGTGATGAGCCACTCAAACTGATTCCCTTTAAAAATGAATAAGCAGACCCGGTGGGTGTCTGAGAAGAGAACGCTAGAAAAGATATTGAAAACCATTTAATATAACAACACTACTATGCAATATTGTATTTTTCTTTATGATGCACCTCAATTGTAAATCGTACATGCAGTCTTAAATTGTTGTCTCACTACTATTCCTCTGCATGTTATGTTGTGTACTTCTGCAGATCCGTCCTCACTGACGGAGTACGATGTGGATGTGGAGCTAAATCTGACAGACTTGGAAACAGTGGGCAATCTACGCACGTTACTGCAGAACGGAAACTTCTCTCTCACCCTCGGCCCGTCTATCAATCTAACACACATTGAAATCACCACCGGTAAGTGATGGGGAACTATTCTATGGGGGTGGGGACAATTTTCTTCACAAGGGCATTTGTTCCGACGGGGATACATTTGTGGGGACAGATGCAAACTCATATGGTGCTATCGTGGTTGCTATGGTAAGCTGTCCATGAGCACTGCTCTACGTGCTTCATTGAGCTACAGTAGAGAGCTAGTTTGCATTGGCCGTCTATATACAGTCGATGGTTTTTGCAAAGGAGCTGTTGGTTGTTTCAGTGTTTCCCAACCAGGGGTACGTGGGCCCTAGGAGTAGGTAGGGGTATAGTAGGGGGTACTTAAATTTTTTTCAAGGTATAATGAACTTGCAAACATTTATAGAAAGTGGTTTAAATGGGCTACCGTGAAATGTTAAATGTCATTCTAAATGGATTTTCTGAATTCAAATAATTTTTATTATAGAACCGTCACATAGTATACTAATTAGTAATAATACTTTGGCTTTATACTTATGGTGGAAATTAAAATTGACTGTAAGTTAAATAAACATCTGATCCATCTGCTGGGGATTTGGTAGAGACACAATCAGAAAATGTGGAACATATTAAAATGATTTATTAATCATGAATGTTTTGGATTTCTTTTTCTTTTTAGTGTGTTCTCAAAATGGCTCCGATTTCCAATGCAGATGTGAAGATCAGTTTGTGTGGTCATATAACAGCTGTGTGACGTATGGCGCTTGTGATGAAATAGTTGACGAAGCCTGTACTTGTTTAAACAATATTCCCTCGGATGGATTGTACTGTCAACCAAAACAAGGTAAGGCCCACCTCCATGCCCATCTGCACATGTATACAGTATATACCCTAAATTCCTTACTGTTAGCTGTGGCTTTTTTCCCTCTCTTTGATTGCTACAATTTATAGTGAGGTGTGGCTTTAATGATTTTTTTTTCAAAAACCTTTTGCCAAGTAACTGTAGACCAACAGAATGAATGAGCACTTCACAGAGGTCAAATGAAATAGTATGTGGTGGATGTTGTTCCTAATCTTTCTGCATGACACTGGAAGAACAGCTGGGGAGTGACTCACTTCTCAAGTTTTGAGCTACATTTTTCAATATTACAACGTGGGACAGACGCGCCTTGTACAAGTGCAAAATTCTATTTCTTTCTAAAAATTAGAGCTTGCTGCTTAAAACAGGTGTGGCTTACAGTCCGAATGATACGGTATATCAAGACCAAATCCATTTTAGTTATAAAGCCCGTTTCATTTTTAAAAATAAATAAAAGAGTTTCCAAAGTGCTGCACAGGAGTAGGCAATAAAGAAACGAATTATAGAACAATTAAAGCTTTATTCAAAGCAGAAAGGTAATACATTACTGTTCTTAATATGGTTATCTATTTAGAAATTATGTCACAACAATGCGTGTATTCTTATGGTCATATTTCTTCTTCCATCTTCCATTACAATTTCTATATACTGTCTAACTGCCTTATCACACAAACATTTCCCTACATTTTTCATTCATTTTTTTCCTATTATTTTCTGTTCTTGATTTTTGTAGTACTCTTTATCTTGTTAAGTTTTAGCGCTCCATCCTTTGTAGGTTTCACAGACAAAACCAAAAAGGGTTAAGTCAACTATTACTTGTGCATAAAAAGAAACTTGTTTTGAATTTTTCAGACCCCCACGAGACAGTATTTGAATATGAGATTGTCATAGAAGTAAACACTATGGACTTAGCTCAACTGAGAGAGAGTCTGCAAGCGATCACTGTGCCTGTTCAAATCAACTCACAAGTCAACATTTCCGAAATTAAAATGACAACAGGTAAGCTTGAGTGGTTATGCACTAAGATGTTCTTTTAAATGACAGCACTGTTTTCTTTCAGTTTGCAGTCCAAGTGCTGCTGGTGTCCACTGCAGCTGTGAGATGGGCTACGTCTGGCCCTGTGACAAATGCAAGGTGTATGGAAAATGTGAAAATGATACAACTAGCTCATGTAACTGTATTAATGCCATTCCTGAAGATGGACAGATCTGTCAGTCTGTACAGGGTCAGAGTGAGTTCACAACACAAAATATCTTGAAGTTAATGAAATTACTAAAGTAAAACTGCTTTTACAGACAACACCCAGTGCACAATCCCCACTCCTACTCCTGAAACAGGTAAAGATAACACAGCCTCCTGAGACGAGCACAGAGAAAAGTCAAATGTTTGAATCGGTCGGTTAAAGATAAAGCCTCACCGACACCAAACAGGAAGGATGCTATCTATTTTGAACAGATAGGTGGAAGTAGCCTGGCTCTGCCAGACCCTTGTAGTTCCGCCATGCTCCACCAGAGGCGTTTGGCTGAAGTGCAGGGTACTACATGGGTCTGGCGAGAGTCAGGCTAAGGTGGAAGTGCTCCTGGTGGACAAACTTTAAAGTGTCTAAGACACTGACTTAAAACAACCTCCCAATCCGATTCATCAATGTTCCTCTGAGGTTTTAAAGATAGACTTAAACAGTATGTCTCTGTGTAAGATCAAACAAAGATTTGAAGTAATTTTTTTGTTTGTAGCCTGGTCGTACCACACCATAGTACAAATGACATTTCGTACTAAGGTCTGGAGGTGCTCCATTGAGCTCCGTTTACAGGTGGGAGGGGTTATCTCCTTTTGCAGATTGAAACGATTGGATCGGAGTTTACCGTGACGTATTTAGTGCGCCCGAGTCTGTTGTTAGCATTTAGCCTAGCCATCTCCTTTGCCGCTAACGGAGCCCGTGGGGAGTAGCGCCACAATTTTTTCCAGCGATTACATTTGCTAAACATTCCTCTTGCTCCGGCTTCAGTTTCTTGATAGAAACAGACCGGATTACTTTACTATCGCATTTTTCGCCATTACCAAACTACAACCTGCCCGTTCGACGCAGACTCTTGACATCACCCACAACTAACCACAACGCCTGCCTCCCGCGCTCTCTGAATGGTCGGTCGAAATTCAACCGATTGTAATCGCTAACACAGGGACTAGACCCAGACGTTACATGCAGGGAAATTATGATTGAACGGAGTGTACGGATGGCTAAGGCCAGGCTAATTTGTTTGTGGTTGTGCTGAACAATATTATTTATCTAGCAAATCATTGGGATACTTGTCACGCTTTTGCGGATAGAAGTTTGAAGTAATAAGAAGCTGGCAGTTTTTAATTCTCAGACATTTGTTGAAAATAAGCATAAATATTTATTTGAAAGAAATTAAGATAAGATGAGATAGACTTTATTGATCTCACAACGGAAAAATGTACATGTCACATTTGGCATAATTACTATCATTCAGATTCTTCAAAAGACAGGAAATATGAAAACATGTTAAAATGTGGAAGAAAGTCTTATTTGTGCACGATATGTTATGTACAAAACCAGCTACTATTGCGTTGAGAAAGAAAAAACATGTCCGATGTGACAGAGTGCACAAAGTCTTCTTTAGTGAAAAAAGATTAGTTTCACATAAACTAAATTGAAACATTCACATTTTTCAGACCCCCACGAGACAGTATTTGAATATGAGATTGTCATAGAAGTAAACACTATGGACTTAGCTCAACTGAGAGAGAGTCTGCAAGCGATCACTGTGCCTGTTCAAATCAACTCACAAGTCAACATTTCCGAAATTAAAATGACAACAGGTAAGCTTGAGTGGTTATGCACTAAGATGTTCTTTTAAATGACAGCACTGTTTTCTTTCAGTTTGCAGTCCAAGTGCTGCTGGTGTCCACTGCAGCTGTGAGATGGGCTACGTCTGGCCCTGTGACAAATGCAAGGTGTATGGAAAATGTGAAAATGATACAACTAGCTCTTGTAACTGTATTAATGCCATTCCTGAAGATGGACAGATCTGTCAGTCTGTACAGGGTCAGAGTGAGTTTACAACACAAAATATCTTGAAGTTAATGAAATTACTAAAGTAAAACTGCTTTTACAGACAACACCCAGTGCACAATCCCCACTCCTACTCCTGAAACAGGTAAAGATAACACAACATCCTGAGACGAGCACAGCTCTGTGTTGACCTATTGGACAAGTATTTTATCGATGAAACTACTAGTACTCATTATACCAGAAATAGGGCTTGGACATGAGTCCCTATTTTTAGAGAATTGCAACTTGACTCGTCCTTGACTCGTTGTTCTTAAGGGACCCGTCCCTAAGAACTTAGACTTGGTCTAGTCTCATGTAATTGGACTTGATTTAGAACAGCAAGAAAGAGACTTATGTGCATCTCACAATATACAGACTCTGAGAGTATGATAGTGTAGACCAAACAGTTTTGATAGTGGTACTAGGGCTTAGGCATACAACAATATTTAAAATAAGAAGAACCGCCACAGCCAAATCTCTACAATACTTTGAAAAGATATTGCACAAATAAAACTAGTACGGATAATTTGGAAATATTTACTATGCCCAATTGCTTAAGTCTGAAGGATATATGTAAAGTAAGATATGTTTCCTCACAGACACAACAGCTAATACTACTACAGAGATGGACTCAAATTCAACTGTCCCCACCACTGTGGTCACCAGTAAGTAACACTGGCAGTTCACTAACCAAATTTGAAAAGTCTTTTGACACATTTCTCCTGTCTGTTTCAGCCCCTGCCTTTCTTTATAGATACAACATTTATTTTAAGTTCAACACCACAGATTCATCAGTGATGAATCGACTGAGAATTGTTCTGAGAAACGTCTCGTCCCACATCAGTGCCAATGGCATTCACATCAACAGTGTTGATGTTTCTACAGGTGACAAAGCTTTTCAATTAGCTCATTAAAATATGAATATGGTTTTAAACATTGTCAGTGAGGAGGCCTGTCTCACATCTTCAGGAAGACTGTTCCAGATTTTAGCAGCATGAATCTGAAAAGTAGTAGTAGGATGAAGTTGGTATGCGTGGAAAGTTATGTCTAGAGACCTTACCTACGGATACAAGAAGAAAGAAACCTGTAAATGGATCATTAAAAAGGGGCTATCCTTATTAGAAACTTTTTTCTGATAAAACACATTAAAAACATGTATTTCCCACCTTTGCAATGTGTTTTCATGTTATAGATAAGTAATAAATCAGTAAAATAACTTTTTTATATCGACGCCTCTGATTGGCCAGAAAAATGATGACGTACTTGTAAGGGTCGCAGCTCCCGCCTCACTGTTTATGGCATTGCTCCTGCAGCCGCTTTGATACAAATAAACCTTAAAGTGGGTGTATTTTGTATGGCCCCGGGATGCAGCAATGAAAGTTACCAAAAGGAGAGTGTAAACAGCAGTCCCTACGATCTTTGACTTATTCAGAGAAGGTCACGGTCCAAACAAACTGAGAGAAGACACCAGCGCGAGTTCCATGAAATTAGTTCTATCAAGCTCCAATTAAAAGAAATTTTACGAGTTTTAACCCAGTATTCAGCAGAAAACACAACTGTCATTGAACCATGAATCCATGTTTCACTCCAACTACGTTTAGTAAAAGATATAGATATGACACATACCATCATGTTTTAGACTTTAGAACCACAGACACACGTTTAGTATAAGACTTTAGAACCACAGACACACGTTTTGTATAAGACTTTAGAACCACAGACACACGTTCAGAATAAGACCATAACGCTATATTTTTGCATTTGATTGAAGACACTCACCATTTCTCTCAAACTCAACAGCTGGAGCTGCGACAAAGAGTTGAGGCTTCTTTCTCGGAGTTGCGGGTATTGGCGTGTTAGCTGGTGTTAGCGCGTTAGCTGATGTCCGTAAAAATAGCGTTAATCCATCTTGTCAAACGACCTCCAGACTTTTCAGTTCTGTCCACTTTTACGGCTGGGATCTTTAATTTCACGGTAGTCACTTTTACGCTTCTTTAACTTTTCTCTGCACTGCGATGTCCGTGATATTCCTTCATCCCTGGCGCTACCTTCGCTAACACTTAAGCTATTTACACTCACTCGGGTGGCACCATTGAGCTCAAACTGGCCGCATCCGCAAACCGGGTCGAGACGGGTCGGACCATAGATCCATGAATCCAGACCGTGGAAAAGGCCCTAATGTTCTTGAAGCTTGCTCCTCATCTGAACCGAGTCAGAGTCCTTAAAATCAGAATTACTGTTAGAACAAGTGCGCAAGGGCTCATAAATAAAAGCCCCTGACTTGTATTGTCCATCACTGAATAACAAATATTTGTTTAAAACGTCTGTATACAACGTTATGGCTTACAAAGGCATATCAACAAAGCCCAAAGACCCCTACGTGTACGTCACTTCCGGTCTCGGCAATTTTTCCGCTAATGTCTTTTTGCATGATAATTATTGACAGAAACGCTAAGGGTGAAACTATCTGTCAAAGTGAGTTAAATTTAACACAAAAAAAGACCACAATATACCAACAAAATAAGATTCGGTCCCTTTGAAGTCCATGCTGTAATAATCTGAAATGAACTGTTTGACTGTTTGTCTACAGTATGCAGTCCAAACAACAGCAGTTACCAGTGCACATGTGAGGAAAAGTACCGTTGGCCATGTGACCTATGTTTGACCCATGGGTCATGTGACAACATCTCCAACGACACTTGTGGATGTATACATGGTCTTCCTCCTGATGGACAGTACTGCCAGCCTCTAGACAGCACTAGTAAGTTCTGCACTTCTCAACAAAAAATATAAAAAGAAATGAAAGAATAAATACTCAGTTCTTTATGTCACCAGATTTCACAGTCTGTCCATCGACCACACCTGTACCAACTTCAGGTAACATGTCCAGTCATTTTTGGGGTTACTTGTGATTTAAGTTCATCACAAACAAATAAATAACTCAACTTAGACTTGTTAACTTTGGAATCACATTTCTCAGAACATTTGTTTATGTTTCTTTGTATCTTTTTCAGAAGTCACAAGCCTGAAACCAACAACAGAAACCAATGTAACCACATTATTGCCTGTAACTAGTAAGTGTTTGAGAAAAGGATGTGGAAAAAATATGCTTTTGAAAGTTCATTGACTCATCTATAACCAGATGCAATGCCCAATATCAACAGTTGTTGGATTATTAATAGAGTATATTGCTTCACAGATACTACAGATAATCCAACTACAGAGATGAACTCTTCAGCGACAACTGTCCCCACCACTGCGGTCACCAGTAAGTAACACTGGCACCTTACTAACTCCAATATGCCAGGTTTGAAGAGTCTTTGGATAACTTTCTCCTGTCTGTTTCAGCCCCTGTCTTTCTTTATAGATACAACATTTATTTTGAGTTCAACACCACAAATTCATCAGTGATGAATCGACTGAGAATTGTTCTGAGAAACGTCTCGTCCCACATCAGTGCCAATGGCATTCACATCAACAGTGTTGATGTTTCTACAGGTGACAAAGCTTTTCAATTAGTTCATTAAAATATATGTAAACTCACGTCTGAGCTTACATATAGAATAGAATAGACTAGAATTCTTAAACAATGATAACGTATTAACTCTAAAACATGACAGGATTAGAAAGCTCCTATCGGTACTTGGGCTGATATGCTTTTGTGTTGCAAGTCCTTATCCATACTGAGTTTAAATGGGTTAGTTTTCCTAAGGCTGTCATGTATAATGCTGCTCTGGATCATAACCAATAATGATGACAAGATTCTGAAATGCTGCCGATAGTCAATATTGTAGGCAAGGCAAGGCAAGTTTATTTGTATAGCACAATTCATACTAGGGCTGGGCGATATGGCTGAAAACTATATCACGATATAAGTCATTCATATCGGTCGATAACGATATATATTGAGTTGTTTTTTTTACCTAAATAAATATATTTGTCGTGTGGGCTAACCAACCTTAGCAGCCTTGTTTACAGTCACGGGGAAATGAGGCTGGAGGAATATGTTCACACTGTGTCCCTCGTTGTTAGTCCTGGTTTAATCCTGTTTTTTTATTCCTGGTTTAGTTCCTGGTTTAGCTGTTTGAGGGTCTTGTGTCCCCGTGGCCGCTCCGTGCGGCTCTGTGCCGCACATGCTTCCCGGGGAAAAAGTGAATCTCTTGCTTTCGCCGAATACATCGGGTCTGTCCACTGCCTCTGCCGCCGCACATGTTATTCCGCGCACGTACGTGCATAACCATTGACACGGCATTGAAACACGAGCTATAGATCCATGGACGCCACGCATGCTGCGGTTGTTGTTGTTTTTGCATTTCCCACAAAGTTTTGCGGTTCCTGCTCGGCTGTTATTGGTCGAGAAGCCTCTGACTACATCCCCCACAATGCCATGCGCTTATGAGTCGGTTTTACTTCCGGTGTTTTCTTCCTGTTTTTCCTGACGGAGTTAAGTTAAACTATCGAACATTCTATCGACCCCATTCTCTATTGATATCGAACACATGTCTATCGCGATATATATCGTTATCGTTTTATCGCCCAGCCCTAATTCATACACAAGGCAACTCAAAGTGCTGAACAAGATAAGAAAGCATTAAAATTATAAATATTCACAGTACATTAAAAAGAAAGATAAAAATATAAAATCCATCAGTTGTATGCACAGCTAAACAGAACGGTTTTTAACCTGGTTTTAAACATTGTCAGAGAGGAGGCCTGTCTCACATCTTCAGGAAGATTGTTCCAGATTTTAGCAGCATGAATCTGAAAAGTAGTAGTAGGATGAAGTTGGTATGCGTGGAAAGTTATGTCTAGAGACCTTACCTACGGATACAAGAAGAAAGAAACCTGTAAATGGATCATTAAAAAGGGGCTATCCTTATTAGAAACTTTTTTTTTCTGATAAAACACATTAAAAACATGTATTTCCCACCTTTGCAATGTGTTTTCATGTTATAGATAAGTAATAAATCAGTAAAATAACTTTTTTATATCGACGCCTCTGATTGGCCAGAAAAATGATGACGTACTTGTAGGGGTCGCAGCTCTCGCCTCACTGTTTATGGCATTGCTCCTGCAGCCGCTTTGATACAAATAAACCTTAAAATGGGTGTATTTTGTATGGCCCCGGGATGCAGCAATGAAAGTTACCAAAAGGAGAGTGTAAACAGCAGTCCCTACGATCTTTGATTTATTCAGAGAAGGTCACGGTCCAAACAAACTGAGAGAAGACACCAGCGCAATTTCCATGAAATTAGTTCTATCAAGCTCCAACTAAGAACAATTTTACGAGTTTCAACCCAGTATTCAGCAGAAAACACAACTGTCATTGAACCATGAATCCCTGTTTCACTCCAACTACGTTTCGTAAAAGATATATTTATGACACATACCATCATGTTTTAGACTTTAGAACCACAGACCCACGTTCAGAATAAGACCATAACGCTATATGTTTGCATTTGATTGAAGACTCTCATCATTTCTCTCAAACTCAACAGCTGGAGCTGCGACAAAGAGTTGAGGCTTCTCTCTCGGAGTTGCGGGTATTGGCGTGTTAGCTGGTGTTAGCGCGTTAGCTGATGTCCGTAAAAAGAGCATTAATCCATCTTGTCAAACCACCTCCAGACTTTTCAGTTCTGTCCACTTTTACGGCTGGGATCTTTAATTTCACAGTAGTCACTTTTACGCTTCTTTAACTTTTCTCTGCACTGCGATGTCCGTGATATTCCTTCGTCCCTGGCGCTACCTTCGCTAATACTTAAGCTATTTACACTCACTCGGGTGGCACCATTGAGCTCAAACTGACCGCATCCGCAAACCGGGTCGAGACGGGTCGGACCATAGATCCATGAATCCAGACCGTGGAAAAGGCCCTAATGTTCTTGAAGCTTGCTCCTCATCTGAACCGAGTCAGAGTCCTTAAAATCAGAATTACTGTCATAACAAGTGCGCAAGGGCTCATAAATAAAAGCCCCTGACTTGTATTGTCCATCACTGAATAACAAATATTTGTTTAAAACGTCTGTATACAACGTTATGGCTTACAAAGGCATATCAACAAAGCCCAAAGACCCCTACGTGTACGTCACTTCCGGTCTCGGCAATTTTTCCGCGAATGTCTTTTTGCATGATAATTATTGACAGAAACGCTAAGGGTGAAACTATCTGTCAAAGTTAGTTCAATTTAACTCAAAAAAGACCACAATATACCAACAAAATAAGATTAGGTCCCTTTGAAGTCCATGCTGTAATGATCTGAAATGAACTGTTTGACTGTTTGTCTACAGTATGCAGTCCAAACAACAGCAGTTACCAGTGCACATGTGAGGAAAAGTACCGTTGGCCATGTGACCTATGTTTGACCCATGGGTCATGTGACAACATCTCCAACGACACTTGTGGATGTATACATGGTCTTCCTCCTGATGGACAGTACTGCCAGCCTCTAGACAGCACTAGTAAGTTCTGCACTTCTCAACAAAAAATATCAAAAGAAATGAAAGAATAAATACTCAGTTCTTTATGTCACCAGATTTCACAGTCTGTCCATCGACCACACCTGTACCAACTTCAGGTAACATGTCCAGTCATTTTTGGGGTTACTTGTGATTTAAGTTCATCACAAACAAATAAATAACTCATCTTAGACTTGTTAACTTTGGAATCACATTTCTCAGAACATTTTTTTATGTTTCTTTGTATCTTTTTCAGAAGTCACAAGCCTGAAACCAACAACAGAAACCAATGTAACCACATTATTGCCTGTAACTAGTAAGTGTTTGAGAAAAGGATGTGGAAAAAATATGCTTTTGAAAGTTCATTGACACATCTATAACCAGATGCAATGACCAATATCAACAGTTGTTGGATTATTAATAGAGTATATTGCTTCACAGACACTACAGATAATCCAACTACAGAGATGAACTCTTCAGCGACAACTGTCCCCACCACTGCGGTCACCAGTAAGTAACACTGGCACCTTACTAACTCCAATATGCCAGATTTGAAGAGTCTTTGGATAACTTTCTCCTGTCTGTTTCAGCCCCTGTCTTTCTTTATAGATACAACATTTATTTTGAGTTCAACACCACAAATTCATCAGTGATGAATCGACTGAGAATTGTTCTGAGAAACGTCTCGTCCCACATCAGTGCCAATGGCATTCACATCAACAGTGTTGATGTTTCTACAGGTGACAAAGCTTTTCAAAATATATGTAAACTCACCTCTGAGCTTACATATAGAATAGAATAGACTAGAATTCTTAAACAATGATAACGTATTAACTCTAAAACATGACAGGATTAGAAAGCTCCTATCGGTACTTGGGCTGATATGCTTTTGTGTTGCAAGTCCTTATCCATACTGAGTTTAAATGGGTTAGTTTTCCTAAGGCTGTCATGTATAATGCTGCTCTGGATCATAACCAATAATGCTGACAAGATTCTGAAATGCTGCCGATAGTCAATATTGTAGGGTGAAGTTTGCATCTATGTGGAAAGTAATGTCTAGAGACCTTACCTATGGACACAAGAAGAACGAAACCTGTGCATGGATCATTAAGTCCATGCTGTAATGATCTGAAATGAACTGTTTGACTGTTTGTCTACAGTATGCAGTCCAAACAACAGCAGTTACCAGTGCACATGTGAGGAAAAGTACCGTTGGCCATGTGACCTATGTTTGACCCATGGGTCATGTGACAACATCTCCAACGACACTTGTGGATGTATACATGGTCTTCCTCCTGATGGACAGTACTGCCAGCCTCTAGACAGCACTAGTAAGTTCTGCACTTCTCAACAAAAAATATAAAAAGAAATGAAAGAATAAATACTCAGTTCTTTATGTCACCAGATTTCACAGTCTGTCCATCGACCACACCTGTACCAACTTCAGGTAACATGTCCAGTCATTTTTGGGGTTACTTGTGATTTAAGTTCATCACAAACAAATAAATAACTCAACTTAGACTTGTTAACTTTGGAATCACATTTCTCAGAATTTTTTTTTATGTTTCTTTGTATCTTTTTCAGAAGTCACAAGCCTGAAACCAACAACAGAAACCAATGTAACCACATTATTGCCTGTAACTAGTAAGTGTTTGAGAAAAGGATGTGGAAAAAATATGCTTTTGAAAGTTCATTGACACATCTATAACCAGATGCAATGACCAATATCAACAGTTGTTGGATTATTAATAGAGTATATTGCTTCACAGACACTACAGATAATCCAACTACAGAGATGAACTCTTCAGCGACAACTGTCCCCACCACTGCGGTCACCAGTAAGTAACACTGGCACCTTACTAACTCCAATATGCCAGGTTTGAAGAGTCTTTGGATAACTTTCTCCTGTCTGTTTCAGCCCCTGTCTTTCTTTATAGATACAACATTTATTTTGAGTTTAACACCACAAATTCATCAGTGATGAATCGACTGAGAATAATTCTGAGAAACGTCTCGTCCCACATCAGTGCCAATGGCATTCACATCAACAGTGTTGATGTTTCTACAGGTGACAAAGCTTTTCAATTAGTTCATTAAAATATATGTAAACTCACGTCTGAGCTTACATATAGAATAGAATAGACTAGAATTCTTAAACAATGATAACGTATTAACTCTAAAACATGACAGGATTAGAAAGCTCCTATCGGTACTTGGGCTGATATGCTTTTGTGTTGCAAGTCCTTATCCATACTGAGTTTAAATGGGTTAGTTTTCCTAAGGCTGTCATGTATAATGCTGCTCTGGATCATAACCAATAATGATGACAAGATTCTGAAATGCTGCCGATAGTCAATATTGTAGGCAAGGCAAGTTTATTTGTATAGCACAATTCATACACAAGGCAACTCAAAGTGCTGAACAAGATAAGAAAGCATTAAAATTATAAATATTCACAGTACATTAAAAAGAAAGATAAAAATATAAAACTCATCAGTTGTATGCACAGCTAAACAGAGCGGTTTTTAACCTGGTTTTAAACATTGTCAGAGAGGAGGCCTGTCTCACATCTTCAGGAAGATTGTTCCAGATTTTAGCAGCATGAATCTGAAAAGTAGTAGTAGGATGAAGTTGGTATGCGTGGAAAGTTATGTCTAGAGACCTTACCTACGGATACAAGAAGAAAGAAACCTGTAAATGAATCATTAAAAAGGGGCTATCCTTATTAGAAACTTTTTTTTCTGATAAAACACATTAAAAACATGTATTTCCCACCTTTGCAATGTGTTTTCATGTTATAGATAAGTAATAAATCAGTAAAATAACTTTTTTATATCGACGCCTCTGATTGGCCAGAAAAATGATGACGTACTTGTAGGGGTCGCAGCTCTCGCCTCACTGTTTATGGCATTGCTCCTGCAGCCGCTTTGATACAAATAAACCTTAAAGTGGGTGTATTTTGTATGGCCCCGGGATGCAGCAATGAAAGTTCCCAAAAGGAGAGTGTAAAAAGCAGTCCCTACGATCTTTGACTTATTCAGAGAAGGTCACGGTCCAAACAAACTGAGAGAAGACACCAGCGCGAGTTCCATGAAATTAGTTCTATCAAGCTCCAATTAAAACCAATTTTACGAGTTTCAACCCAGTATTCAGCAGAAAACACAACTGTCATTGAACCATGAATCCATGTTTCACTCCAACTACGTTTAGTAAAAGATATAGATATGACACATACCATCATGTTTTAGACTTTAGAACCACAGACACACGTTTAGTATAAGACTTTAGAACCACAGACCCACGTTCAGAATAAGACCATAACGCTATATGTTTGCATTTGATTGAAGACACTCACCATTTCTCTCAAACTCAACAGCTGGAGCTGCGACAAAGAGTTAATAGATTTTATTTATAATGCACTTTACATTTCAGGGAAACCTCAGAGTGCTACAAAAACAGGGAACATCCCCAAGATACACAACATAAAAACAATACATCAAATATAACATCAGGAAAATATAAAATAAAATAAAACATAATTACTGTACATATCTAGAAGGCCTGTTTGAATAGGAATGTCTTTAGGCCTTTCTTAAAAGCCTCCACACTTTGTGGGGCCCTGAGGGTTTCTGGGAGGGCATTCCAGAGCCGGGGGGCTACTGCCTGAAAGGCCCTATCTCCCATGGTGGAGAGTTTGGTCCTGGGTTGGTGCAGGCAGTGGGAGGAGGTGGTTGAACGGAGACTTCGAGAGGCGGTGTGTGGTGTTAGGAGTTCACTGAGGTAGGCAGGGGCAGTTCCGTGTGTGCATTGATATGTGAGGAGGCAGAGTTTGTACTGTATTCTGTGTTTGATGGGCAGCCAGTGGAGTGATTTAAAGACGGGTGTGATATGGTCATATTTGCGCCTCCTCGTCAGGACCCGGGCAGCACAGTTCTGGATGTACTGGAGTTTTTGCAGACCCTTTGCAGAGGTCCCGACGAGGAGGGCATTGCAGTAATCCAACCTGGAGGAGACAAAGGCATGGATCAGCTTCTCAGCGTCCGGTTGTGAGAGGGAGGAGCGGAGTCTGGCAATGTTTTTGAGGTGAAGGAAGGAGACTTTTACAGAGGTGGCGGATGTGGGTATCAAATGTAAAATTAGAGTCGAGCCTGACTCCAAGGTTATTAACAGATGTGGACAGGGGGATGTTATGGCCAAAAATTGAAACACTACTGAGAGGGGAGGACTGGGTTTGGTGGGGGGTGCCAAAGAGGATTGCATCAGTTTTACCACTGTTAAGTTGAAGAGAATTGTTGTCCATCCATGCCTTTATCTCCTCCAGACAAAGCTGAAGGGCTGACGTAAAACCTGTGGGTGAAGTGGAGTCCATTTTCAGGTATAACTGTGTATCATCGGCGTAGCAGTGGAAAGAAATGTTGTGTCTGTTTATGATTTGACCAAGGGGGAGCATGTATATTGTAAAAAGGGTTGGCCCGAGGACTGAGCCTTGCGGTACCCCACAGGTAACTGAATGGGTTGACGATTTGTACTGGCCTAGGGACACATATTCTGTTCTGTCAGTGAGATATGAATGAAACCATTTGAGTGTTGTCTGTGAAAGTCCAATTACTGATTGTAGTCTATGGAGGAGAATGGTGTGGTCCACGGTATCAAAAGCTGCTGACAGATCGAGGAGGAGGAGGAGAGAGGGTGAGCCCCGGTCCGCAGTCATGAGTAGGTCATTCATGACGCGGACCAAGGCTGTCTCTGTACTGTGGGCTGAGCGGAAACCAGATTGAAATTTCTCATATAGGTTATGGGAGCGTAAGTGATTGTGGAGTTGGGCTGCTACTGCTTTTTCGAGGACTTTGGAGAGGAATGGGAGGTTTGAGACTGGTCTGTAGTGGGCTAGGATGTTGGGGTCAAGTGAAGGTTTTTTCAGGTGAGGGCGGATTACTGCATTTTTGAGAGCTGGGGGGACCTGACCGGATTTTAGTGACTGGTTAATGATTTCTGTTATTAATGGGCTAATGGCGGAAAAGTTTGATTTGAGAAGTGTTGTGGGGAGAGGATCCAGCAGACAGGTGGAGGGCTTCATGCTGCTTATGATCCTCTCCACTTCAGACTGGGAGATATCCAAGAAGGAGGTAAAGGTGTTGGGCGGCTTAGGAAAGATTATGTCAGTTGGAAATGGGGTAGTGGAAGGAAGGGCAGACCGGATTGACATTACCTTGTTGGTGAAGTAGTCCATGAACCTATTGCAATGGTCCGTACTGGTGTCAGACAGTGTGTGTGTGTGAGGTTTGACCAGAGTGTTTATTTCAGAAAATAATCGTTTTGAATTGCCAGTGCTATCTGAGATTTTTTGTGAAAAATAGCAGGATCTTGCAGTGGTGAGTGCTCTGGTATATGTTTTTTGGTGTTCACGGTATGCCTGTTTGTGGACTAGTAAGCCAGTGGAGGTGTAGCGCCGCTCGAGGGCTCGGCCAGCTGTCTTCATATTGTGGAGTTCAGGTGTGTACCATGGGGCTGTTCTGGAAAATGTGACTGTTCTGGTTTTAACTGGTGCATGAGAATCAAGGATAATGCGGAGGCTGGAGTTGTAATGAGTGACAGTTTCATTTACAGAAGTGAATTGTGTGACTAGAGAGATTTTATGAATGTCCTGGTTAATGCGGGTGGAGTCAATTGCCTTTAAATTTCTGAAACTGATTTGGCGCTTTGTTTTAATTTGTGTTTCGGCTAAGGGCAGTACCATGGAAATTAATTTGTGGTCGGACACCCCCAAATCATAAACTTGCAGGTTGGAGATGGGGACGTTGTCTGTTATAACAAGGTCAAGAATATGGCCTTTTGTGTGGGTGGGTTCTGAGACATGTTGTGATAGATGTAAATAGTCCAAGAGTTCGAGAAATTCTGCAGCAAGACGATTATTTGTAGATTTAATGTGGATGTTGAAATCTCCCAGAATGAGTGTATTATGGGAAGTAGCACAGAGGGAAGTGAGTAGATCTCGCAATTCAGTGATAAAGCCGGAGTTGAGTTTTGGAGGGCGGTAGATGAGGAGCGTTAAAATTGATTTATTTTGTGGTCTGCATTTGAAAAGAAGGGCTTCAAATGTTGTAAGCTCTGGAAGTGGGAGGGGGGTTACAGGTAAGTCCCTGTGATGTATGACAGCCAGCCCTCCACCACGACCAGTGGTCCTAGCCTTCTCCAGATATGTAAACCCTGGGGGGCAGGCTTCATTCAAAGAAATGTATGAACCAGGTTTGTGCCAGGTCTCAGTGAGGCACAACATGTCCAACTTTTTATCCTGAATATGATCCAGAATCAAACTAGTTTTATTGGAGAGTGATTGACTATTTAGCAGATCTATTTTTAATTCAGAAGTGGGCTTATGTTTTGGAAGAGTGCGGAGCAGGCGAAAATCCACCCCGCGTTTTCCATGTCTCCGCTGTTTTTGTTTATGTGGTCTGATGCCGGTCGCATTCTGATGACGTAATCCATGTGTGCCGTGATGATGCAGTCGGTGGATGTGGTGTGGTCCGAGAGAGAAGCTGGTGGAATGTTCTCCGTGGCTGTGGAGCAGGGACGGTCCGCGGGCATGTTGCGGTTGTTGGTGGTGTGTTCCGCACACCCGGGCGCTGACTGGAGCACTGGAGGGTCGATGTGCTCGCTCGGATTGTAGCAGCAGTTGAGGCTTCTTTCTCGGAGTTGCGGGTATTGGCGTGTTAGCTGGTGTTAGCGCGTTAGCTGATGTCCGTAAAAATAGCATTAATCCATCTTGTCAAACCACCTCCAGACTTTTCAGTTCTGTCCACTTTTACGGCTGGGATCTTTAATTTCACGGTAGTCACTTTTACGCTTCTTTAACTTTTCTCTGCACTGCGATGTCCGTGATATTCCTTCTTCCCTGGCGCTACCTTCGCTAACACTTAAGCTATTTACACTCACTCGGGTGGCACCATTGAGCTCAAACTGGCCGCATCCGCAAACCGGGTCGAGACGGGTCGGACCATAGATCCATGAATCCAGACCGTGGAAAAGGCCCTAATGTTCTTGAAGCTTGCTCCTCATCTGAACTGAGTCAGAGTCCTTAAAATCAGAATTACTGTCAGAACAAGTGCGCTAGGGCTCATAAATAAAAGCCCCTGACTTGTATTGTCCATCACTGAATAACAAATATTTGTTTAAAACGTCTGTATACAACGTTATGGCTTACAAAGGCATATCAACAAAGCCCAAAGACCCCTACGTGTACGTCACTTCCGGTCTCGGCAATTTTTCCGCTAATGTCTTTTTGCATGATAATTATTGACAGAAACGCTAAGGGTGAAACTATCTGTCAAAGTGAGTTAAATTTAATACAAAAAAAGACCACAATATACCAACAAAATAAGATTAGGTCCCTTTGAAGTCCATGCTGTAATGATCTGAAATGAACTGTTTGACTGTTTGTCTACAGTATGCAGTCCAAACAACAGCAGTTACCAGTGCACATGTGAGGAAAAGTACCGTTGGCCATGTGACCTATGTTTGACCCATGGGTCATGTGACAACATCTCCAACGACACTTGTGGATGTATACATGGTCTTCCTCCTGATGGACAGTACTGCCAGCCTCTAGACAGCACTAGTAAGTTCTGCACTTCTCAACAAAAAATATAAAAAGAAATGAAAGAATAAATACTCAGTTCTTTATGTCACCAGATTTCACAGTCTGTCCATCGACCACACCTGTACCAACTTCAGGTAACATGTCCAGTCATTTTTGGGGTTACTTGTGATTTAAGTTCATCACAAACAAATAAATAACTCAACTTAGACTTGTTAACTTTGGAATCACATTTCTCAGAACATTTGTTTATGTTTCTTTGTATCTTTTTCAGAAGTCACAAGCCTGAAACCAACAACAGAAACCAATGTAACCACATTATTGCCTGTAACTAGTAAGTGTTTGAGAAAAGGATGTGGAAAAAATATGCTTTTGAAAGTTCATTGACACATCTATAACCAGATGCAATGACCAATATCAACAGTTGTTGGATTATTAATAGAGTATATTGCTTCACAGACACTACAGATAATCCAACTACAGAGATGAACTCTTCAGCGACAACTGTCCCCACCACTGCGGTCACCAGTAAGTAACACTGGCACCTTACTAACTCCAATATGCCAGATTTGAAGAGTCTTTGGATAACTTTCTCCTGTCTGTTTCAGCCCCTATCTTTCTTTATAGATACAACATTTATTTTGAGTTCAACACCACAAATTCATCAGTGATGAATCGACTGAGAATAATTCTGAGAAACGTCTCGTCCCACATCAGTGCCAATGGCATTCACATCAACAGTGTTGATGTTTCTACAGGTGACAAAGCTTTTCAATTAGTTCATTAAAATATATGTAAACTCACGTCTGAGCTTACATATAGAATAGAATAGACTAGAATTCTTAAACAATGATAACATATTAACTCTAAAACAGTACAGGATTAGAAAGCTCCTATCGGTACTTGGGCTGATATGCTTTTGTGTTGCAAGTCCTTATCCATACTGAGTTTAAATGGGTTAGTTTTCCTAAGGCTGTCATGTATAATGCTGCTCTGGATCATAACCAATAATGATGACAAGATTCTGAAATGCTGCCGATAGTCAATATTGTAGGCAAGGCAAGTTTATTTGTATAGCACAATTCATACACAAGGCAACTCAAAGTGCTGAACAAGATAAGAAAGCATTAAAATTATAAATATTCACAGTACATTAAAAAGAAAGATAAAAATATAAAATCCATCAGTTGTATGCACAGCTAAACAGAGCGGTTTTTAACCTGGTTTTAAACATTGTCAGAGAGGAGGCCTGTCTCACATCTTCAGGAAGATTGTTCCAGATTTTAGCAGCATGAATCTGAAAAGTAGTAGTAGGATGAAGTTGGTATGCGTGGAAAGTTATGTCTAGAGACCTTACCTACGGATACAAGAAGAAAGAAACCTGTAAATGGATCATTAAAAAGGGGCTATCCTTATTAGAAACTTTTTTTTTCTGATAAAACACATTAAAAACATGTATTTCCCACCTTTGCAATGTGTTTTCATGTTATAGATAAGTAATAAATCAGTAAAATAACTTTTTTATATCGACGCCTCTGATTGGCCAGAAAAATGATGACGTACTTGTAAGGGTCGCAGCTCTCGCCTCACTGTTTATGGCATTGCTCCTGCAGCCGCTTTGATACAAATAAACCTTAAAGTGGGTGTATTTTGTATGGCCCCGGGATGCAGCAATGAAAGTTACCAAAAGGAGAGTGTAAACAGCAGTCCCTACGATCTTTGACTTATTCAGAGAAGGTCACGGTCCAAACAAACTGAGAGAAGACACCAGCGCGAGTTCCATGAAATTAGTTCTATCAAGCTCCAACTAAGAACAATTTTACGAGTTTTAACCCAGTATTCAGCAGAAAAAACAACTGTCATTGAACCATGAATCCCTGTTTCACTCCAACTACGTTTCGTAAAAGATATATTTATGACACATACCATCATGTTTTAGACTTTAGAACCACAGACCCACGTTCAGAATAAGACCATAACGCTATATGTTTGCATTTGATTGAAGACACTCACCATTTCTCTCAAACTCAACAGCTGGAGCTGCGACAAAGAGTTGAGGCTTCTCTCTCGGAGTTGCGGGTATTGGCGTGTTAGCTGGTGTTAGCGCGTTAGCTGATGTCCGTAAAAATAGCATTAATCCATCTTGTCAAACCACCTCCAAACTTTTCAGTTCTGTCCACTTTTACGGCTGGGATCTTTAATTTCACGGTACTCACTTTTACGCTTCTTTAACTTTTCTCTGCACTGCGATGTCCGTGATATTCCTTCTTCCCTGGCGCTACCTTCGCTAACACTTAAGCTATTTACACTCACTCGGGTGGCACCATTGAGCTCAAACTGACCGCATCCGCAAACCGGGTCGAGACGGGTCGGACCATAGATCCATGAATCCAGACCGTGGAAAAGGCCCTAATGTTCTTAAAGCTTGCTCCTCATCTGAACCGAGTCAGAGTCCTTAAAATCAGAATTACTGTCAGAACAAGAGCGCAAGGGCTCATAAATAAAAGCTTGCTCCTCATCTGAACCGAGTCAGAGTCCTTAAAATCAGAATTACTGTCAGAACAAGTGCGCAAGGGCTCATAAATAAAAGCCCCTGACTTGTATTGTCCATCACTGAATAACAAATATTTGTTTAAAACGTCTGTATACAACGTTATGGCTTACAAAGGCATATCAACAAAGCCCAAAGACCCCTACGTGTACGTCACTTCCGGTCTCGGCAATTTTTCCGCTAATGTCTTTTTGCATGATAATTATTGACAGAAACGCTAAGGGTGAAACTATCTGTCAAAGTGAGTTAAATTTAACACAAAAAAGACCACAATATACCAACAAAATAAGATTAGGTCCCTTTGAAGTCCATGCTGTAATGATCTGAAATGAACTGTTTGACTGTTTGTCTACAGTATGCAGTCCAAACAACAGCAGTTACCAGTGCACATGTGAGGAAAAGTACCGTTGGCCATGTGACCTATGTTTGACCCATGGGTCATGTGACAACATCTCCAACGACACTTGTGGATGTATACATGGTCTTCCTCCTGATGGACAGTACTGCCAGCCTCTAGACAGCACTAGTAAGTTCTGCACTTCTCAACAAAAAATATAAAAAGAAATGAAAGAATAAATACTCAGTTCTTTATGTCACCAGATTTCACAGTCTGTCCATCGACCACACCTGTACCAACTTCAGGTAACATGTCCAGTCATTTTTGGGGTTACTTGTGATTTAAGTTCATCACAAACAAATAATTAACTCATCTTAGACTTGTTAACTTTGGAATCACATTTCTCAGAACATTTGTTTATGTTTCTTTGTATCTTTTTCAGAAGTCACAAGCCTGAAACCAACAACAGAAACCAATGTAACCACATTATTGCCTGTAACTAGTAAGTGTTTGAGAAAAGGATGTGGAAAAAATATGCTTTTGAAAGTTCATGGACACATCTATAACCAGATGCAATGACCAATATCAACAGTTGTTGGATTATTAATAGAGTATATTGCTTCACAGACACTACAGATAATCCAACTACAGAGATGAACTCTTCAGCGACAACTGTCCCCACCACTGCGGTCACCAGTAAGTAACACTGGCACCTTACTAACTCCAATATGCCAGGTTTGAAGAGTCTTTTGGATAACTTTCTCCTGTCTGTTTCAGCCCCTGTCTTTCTTTATAGATACAACATTTATTTTGAGTTCAAACACCACAAATTCATCAGTGATGAATCGACTGAGAATTGTTCTGAGAAACGTCTCGTCCCACATCAGTGCCAATGGCATTCACATCAACAGTGTTGATGTTTCTACAGGTGACAAAGCTTTTCAATTAGTTCATTAAAATATATGTAAACTCACACTCTGAGCTTACATATAGAATAGAATAGACTAGAATTCTTAAACAATGATAACATATTAACTCTAAAACATGACAGGATTAGAAAGCTCCTATTGGTACTTGGGCTGATATGCTTTTGTGTTGCAAGTCCTTATCCATACTGAGTTTAAATGGGTTAGTTTTTCCTAAGGCTGTCATGTATAATGCTGCTCTGGATCATAACCAATAATGCCTATCTAAGCACATTTTGCATCCACTATACTTCATACTCTCAAAAGGCGCACTTTGGACGCTTTATCAATCACATGCTTGTTTGCATCTGGCATTTCTAAAGTTGGAAAAAGAAAGAAAGAATGTCAACGCATCTAGGTGGTATTATAGGAGTACAGTGATATATAATAATTGTCACTTTAATCATTGATCATTCAAATAATTCATGGCCAAAAAATAAGGCATACGAGGTGCAACCAGTAGGGTTGTCGGGCGCGGTGGGGCACACCGAAACTTGGTACATGTTCAGATTTGCAACAAAATAATGCGTGCTACCAAAATAATTTTAGGGGGTCCGTGGTAACAACTAAAGATGATCATACTGTAATCCCCATTTACGTTATTCTGTCAGAACGTCCAGACATGATGGCAAACTCCACCGAGATAGTCTTGTGGCTGCAAGTTCTGCATAAATTCCAAGTATCCTTAAATGTACTGAAAAAAAGGTGTAATCACAATCAGGGTAACTATATGACGCTTTTTAGGGAGACAGGCGAAGTCTAGACCGTCAAAATGACTGGACTTGAGCATCAAGTTGTAACAAAGTTTCCTTCTCATAGTTGTTCTGTTATCCAAGGGTCACTCAGAATGTAAAACGGCAATGCAATTCTGTACGTTATGTACTTCACAACTAGGCACTCTAAAGCCAACTCCGGCGTTAGTAAAGCACAAGAACAGAAGCAAAACTGAAATCACCATGACCTGAGCAATTCCTTGTCGTTTCTGCATTGTGTCTTTGTGTGCAAGTCGATTGGTTCACACAGCACCTTTTTTTCATTGTAGCTAAATGTGAAAGAAAAAAAAACGATCCAGAAAATCACATCTTAGAATAATCTTTGTGGCAATGACAAGACAAACGTTATATGTTAAGTCTTCACACACAGTTGCTGGTATTGTGGCCCATTCATCTATGCAGATCTCCTGGCAACTCCCTCCCAAGATGGCTAATGGAGAGATCTGGAGACTGAATCGTTACTTCAGGACCTTGAAATGCTTTTTACAAACCACTCCTTGTTATCACTCGAAACCCGTTATGAAAAGACCTCCTTACTGTTGGCCCATGTCTATTAGTTTTATAGGTCGTTTGCCATCTTTTGATTCTTTTGCTGATTATGCAGTGGCAAATCAACAATTTCTGGCCCCTTTGAGATGCATTGGGATACAATTACTATAATATAAATTTTAGAATGATGTGTTGAATTTGTGTATGGGTTTATGCTGTGGATCACCTGATGGATCAACCTATGTCATCTAAAACATTTGAGTACTCAACAAAAAAGACAACCACCAGTTAAGCTTTAAACAACATTTCAATTATACAATGCCAACTATGAACTAGCTAACATTTGTCATATCCACAATCAAGACTTTTTATTTGATTACAACACACAATAAAATTAAATAAATCCATTTCAACGTTCATTCAATGCAAGTGGCAGAGCACTAATAAGTGCTAAAAGTGTTTAAAAGCCAGTCTGAATTAATAAGTTGTTGAGGCCTCACAACTGATGGTATTGCCATATACCAATCACACCCCTCTGTATGACAACTTACTACAACAGTTTCAAGGAGAATTGTTTGATATGTTGAGCATTTACTATTACATAGCACACACAAAATCTGTGCCGGGCTCAATAGTTGATGTTGGTGGAGGCGTGTTTCCATTTGCTTTCACCACTTAAACAGCAGATTGTCCCAAACTAACCACAGGTTTCAGACTTGGCTCCCATTTGCCCCCCAACCACTCATAGGATACTTCCACCCCCCGCGCCCTTGTATGATTAAGCCTCTCCAACACACTGGCATCCACTGCATAGGCCCGACAGACTTGGGTTAGCGGCCTCTCATAACTGCAGGCCTCCTAATGCATTGCAGCCATTAGATACACATGGAGCAGAGAGAATGGAGGCTTGTCGGATAGACCGAGGATGGACTGAACCGTTCAGTTCTAGAGGACCACACTTATCCATCACTTCTCTACGCCGCCGTAAATGCCACTCCAACAGAGTTTTGCTGCAGGAAGTTTCTGTGAGAAGACTTTAATGAAATAGCGCAATACAGTACACATAACCTGGCACAAGGACTGAACACTAACACTGCTATAGTCCACTTCTAATTTATGTATCGTTATATATATTACACAAAAGAAACAATATTTTAACCTTTTATCCTGTTTGCTCACTTCCGTCTTTTTGCACGCCCTGATGATTCTATTCAGCCAAATGTAATATGTAGATTTTCGCTATTGTGAGATCAAGAAGTGAGATCATTTTAAGCGTATCTTATCGTATATACAGTAAACAGGACAAGTTGTGGTTGAGATTTGAAGATCATGCGGTGGGCTATCTAGTTTATTGATGCTGAAGGCCTCATCATTGTTTAATTCTGCGTAATTCAGTATGGAAAAAATAACATGCTGCAGTTTCATCCATCCTAGGGCCACCTCTCCATCCTCAACCAATCACACGGCTCTGCCAGCCCCCATGCCAACCTAAGTCAGCGAAGCGTGCATTTAAAAGCAGCCAAGTCTGATTCCACTACAGACCTTTCTGTCTGTTGGAGTTTGCACGTTCTGGCTCGTCTGCGTAGTAGTTTCCTCGGGTACTCCAGGTCCCCGTCATCTAGAAATAAGAACAATAAATAGGCTGGCATGTGTCTACTGTACGGCGACCCACTTCCATCTCTGTGTGGAGTGAGGAGACAAAGCCCTCAGTGTAAAAGCGCTGTGTGAGGCGAGTCTGTGAAAGGCGTATATATAGTAAATAAAGAGGATCTTACTCTCTGCTCTGCTTTTGCTTCGCCTTTTTAATCTCCTTGAATCATTTTATTTACATTTTGTTTCTCCTTTAATCATTTTATTTACAAAACGAGGATTACTCCTTCTACACACTTCAGCTTTGTGGAATTTATCAACTTTAGTCATGTCGGGACGAAAGAGACGGAGAAGCGTCTGCGGCGGCTGTTGTGCTCTGGAAAATCAGCTCAAATCTCTTCAAACACGGATATCTATTGTGGAAACAGAAATGGGACTAAACCCGACTCTTCCAATGAGTGAAAATGGGATGAATGGACAGACTGGAAATGTAAGTTATGACGTCATTTCTTTTCCCAAAATCAACAATGAGAATTATTGGAACAATTGTGGAGCTAAACCCAAAGTTGACAAAGCTAAGAATGACAATAGGAGTGAAATAAGGCCACAACTAAATGTTCTGAAGACTTCAAACCGCTTTTTACCCCTTTCTGAAACAACAAAGCCGCTAAAAACTGCAGCGCCTCCACCAAGGACAAACTGTGTCCTTATCGGAGATGGTTCGGTGAAAAATGTAAACATGGAGTCCATGCTCACTGTCTCAGTTCACTCTGCAAAAGTTGCTGAGATAAGGACTCTTCTGCCTAAAGTGTTATCTGAGAACAGTGGTGTGCGTACATTATTGATCCACACAGGGGCGGTAGATATCTATGAGAAGGCAAGCGAGAAGTTACGAATGGATTTAACGCTGTTACTGGATGACCTCAAAAAAATGGACAAACATTTTTCTTAGTGGCCCACTTCCAAATATAGATGGAAAAATTGAGAAGTTTAGCCGTCTGTATCAGCTAAATACATTCCTACTCAATGAGTGTTCACGCAGAGGACTTGGCTTCATTGAAAACTTTAATCTGTTCTGGAATAGGCACGAGCTTTTTGAAGAAAAAGGTCCACATCTGAACAACTACGGAGTAACAGTGTTGATGGATAACTTTGCATCTGCCCTAAGACCTCAGCCTGCGCAGCGTGTGCAGCCGTTGAAAGGGAGAAAGAAGAAGCAAAGGGCACAGACATCACGACCATCTCCACCAACTCCTGAGGTCTCTGCACCCCCACCGCCTCAAAAGAACTCCACACCTTCACGATTCAAGAAGAACTCAACACCTCCAAGGTTCCAAAAGAACTCAACACCTCCACGGCTCCGAAAGAGCTCAACGCCTCCACCCCCAGCATCATCAGCAGCTGCCATATCTTCATCAGCGCCATCAGCATATACAGCACCACCAGCAGCAGTGGATACAGCAGCAGCAGTGGCTGCTCCATCATCTTCAGCAGCACCTTCCCCACCTACAGCTCCCGTGAAGCTTCCCCCATTACTCCAGGCTACAGTCAGGCCTGTACTGGGGGTTCCTCAACCACCTCTGTCTCCACCAAAGACTCCCTCATCACCTTCCATGGACCCGGCTTGGGTCCCCCCCGCTACATCCACTCCATCTAGGGAAAATGAGGACGACCTTTCCCTTTGTTTTCTATCCCCGCCTTCACTACTGGATTTACCGGAACACTCTGCAGGCATGATAAGATCGGCGATGAAGACTATTCCTCTCACACCCACTGTAGCCAGATCAAGAGTCCTATCTAACATTCAAAACTACTCCCCATACGTACCTCCAAAGCCACCTAGGGTGTCCAACTCAAATTCTCCCACAAAATCCACCCGTCCCTCCT